ACTCAACATATGGAGGAAGTCTAAAGCCTTTCAAACCACTTAATGAGAAAGCTATGGATATCAACAGCAGAAGGAAAAAATCGAAAATGGGAGGAAGATGCGTCCATTCTGCCATGCTAATTTATATTGTTAGAGTGGAAAGTAAATGGCAATGTTAGCTGTGCTGAGGATTTTCAAAAGTTGTATTTATTTTTGGCTTCCTTTCAAAAATAATGTTCCAATAAATATGCAGCATGCTGGGTTTGTGGCACTGGTAGTGTGTCCATCACCATGGCACCTGAGCACTCAAGCAAATGATTAACCATCAGAGCAAATGAAACAGAAGCTGAGAGCCATCAGGCACTGTGACAAGCTCTTCATAGACCTTACAGTATGTCAGTGCATCTCTGTCTGGACTTTTACTCCTTTGGGGTTTCCACTGTCCTATCTTTCCTATTCTTATGATAACCAGGTCTTTTTTTCAAGCAGTGATAAGGGATGCAGACATCTCAGATTGGCTTTGGAGAAAGAAGGAGATAAAAAAAAACAACAAACCAACAACAAAAAACAACCAACCCAATCAACCCAAAAACCAATACACACTTTCATCAGGAAAACATTGCTTAAGGACACAGTAAGGAAAAAAATAATTTTCATTTGTACAAACCAATTATGAATTGACAAACTCTTATGCCTGCCCTGCCATCAGCTTAACCCTTAAATTACTTCTCTGAAGAAGGAAAACAAGTCTTTCTTCACTGAGGGCCAATATGATCTTTCAGGAGACTGATGCAGACAATACTTCAACACTATTGTTAGCATTATCTAATAATAATGAAAAGAATACATAAAAACGTATGGCTACGTGCCTTCTTCAAAAAGTCTGGAGATCGCCTCAGGCCCTCCCCACACTTTAAATAAGCAGCAAGTTAATGACAACTCCACTGATGTTTGTTTAACGTATGTGCATATAACTACTGTTAGCTTTTTCTAGCTTAGGATGCTTAAGCAGAGACCTCTGAGGTTTTAGGGAAAAAAAAAAAAATCTTCTGTTGAATCACCTATTCCTTGCTGTTTTGTTTTGTACAAAATCTCTGAGGGGCACAGGAAAGCAGAGGGCCTTGCATGCAGGCCAACTTTACAAAGGCTAGATCCTTTCACTACTGGAGAATTGTGCAGTTATAATACAACATTCACTGTTTTCCATCACTAATCAAGGCAATGATATTGCATACTAATTAAATTGGTGTTACATGGAGTTTTTCCTCTTTACTGTAGCTGCTTCAGACTTAGGAGATAGTTACATCCTCTCCACTCCAGTTTATCCTTTAAAGAGGGGTAAGTTTTGGGGACAATGCCACATTGCCAGCAATGAAGACTCAAGTTCTCACTTCCCAGGGCAGGTACAATGTGCTGTGCTACCACTGTGCCTCAGAAGCAGTTTTGAAGCACATAAGGAGCAACGCACTGCCCACCTATATTTGACTGTGAAACTCTGGATTAAAGTTCACTCTAAGCATCACTGATTCTGCTACCTCTCCTGTGTCTAAATTATATCCATCACTGTCATCTCTAAAGATTCAGATCTTCTGCACACTTCATCAGGCTTTATAATCGAAGCTAATGAAAGATATGTTTGTTTAGCTGTTGTAAATGGCTTTGAAGATCTCAGTTTGAGCAAGGGTGATGAATTAAGGATGTCAGCTGGGTAAACAGTTTAATTTCGAATGAACTTAGCTAAAATGGATTACTGAAAAAACAATATGGATTTTTCAAATTCATATTATTTCACACACTTTACCAGTAAATATTTTACCCCTTCTTGCCATCTGACTCACCAAGCATAAACTGAAAGAATCAGTTGGTGACTACAGGTGTAAGAAGCCACTTTTTGACTGCAGCAGGGAGTACAGCCCTCAAACAATTTAGTCCTAACCAGACTAAATTTCTGCATAATAGCAATTCTGTAAAACAGCCTGAACATGGTAATCAAAGCATTTTATAACAAAATTCAGAAAGTAACAACTGCAAAGAACTATTCCATAACACAGTTATTTATTGGAAGTACCTGATTTTTTTATTCTCCCTGGTCCATTTTCAATGAATTAAAATAATAACTTACGGGGAAAGAAAATTATCTTAAAATAGTTGTGGGGGTTTTTCCTCTCTCAGGTAATTTGGAGCCAGGAAAAATCCAAAATAACAGCATGACTGTTGAAAATCACAGGGTAAGGTTGGAAATGTCTAGAGGTCATCTAGTTCAACCTCATGGTCAAATCAGTGCCACCTTAGAACAGGTAGCTCAGAATTAAAAGGGAAAGATAATAATTTAAAGAAAAAAAATTTAAATAAAAAGAATTTAAAAAAAATTAAGTTTTCCTCTATCCCCTTTTGCACCGGGGGGGCGGGGGGGGGGGGGGGGGGGAATATTTTCTTGAAACATATAGCTCTTCTGTGTTGTTTATTAGTAAATATGACCAATATGGAAAATAGATTAAAGTTTCCTCCTTTGGTTGACCTACTTCCCTTTCTGTCTTGATGCAGGTAACATTTAAGCGCAATGTGTGGCAAACTCCAACTCAGTTGCCAGCACTGGCCACACTGCTGGCCAGAAAAGGCTAGGAATGCTGCAAGTTCAGCTCCAGTGACAGAGAAAATGTTCCATTCATTAGCAGTCCCCTCCAAGTTAATCAAGGAACAGAGCCAACAGCTGCTGAGGAGGGTTCCACCCCATCTATCCCTGGGAAAGCAAGGCCTCTAGGGCAGGGCCTGGACTGTACAGCAAAGAAGAATAGGGTGGGGAAACCTTGCTAGATCTCAGTGAAACCCAGATGACTCATCAGAAAGTAAAACATTTCTATTTTGGCAAGAGGCTGAAATAGCAGCCCTGGGTTGTGCTGCAACACAGCAATAAATGACCCTGAGCACTTGGGACAAACTCCTGTGCACACTGATATTCCTAACGGTAGGGGCTATTTCACATCTCATTAAACAAGGAGGTTTACATGACAATTAACACATTAATTAGCACCATCTTTTTCACAGTTGGAACTTTGCCTTGAGATTTCAACATTTTTAGACAACTGTTCTGTGAGTGAAAATGAAGGAATTTTTTTTTTATGACTCAAGGTCATAAAAAGGTGACACTCTAAGTGACAAGGACTCCTATGCAGAACTGGCATAGAAGTATATTTATCTATGTACTGAAGGACACTGCAACCAGTCAATGGCCTTTCTCATAACTTCCATGCTAGGAGGGCCTCACTGTACAATCTGCACCCTGCCATTCAAAGCCTGGCCCTCAGCCTTGGCAAGGTTCCAGGCTGGACACTTCATACGCTGACCATAAACAAGCCTAATGTACCCCAAAGTGACACAGAGGAAAAGCAAAGCCTGGATTTCAACAAGCAGTAGCTCCCATTCGTTAGCCCCAGCCGCTGACCTGTGTGGCTCCCCACTACAACAATCCCTTCCACTGTATCCATAGAGATATGACCTGTGGGAAAACTCTTCAGCAAACACCAAAAAGCAACACTGCTAAATTCACTGAAAATAGGTAACAGCTATAAGAGAATGTTTATTGCCCAAGAGCTTCGTATTTTAGATACAGAACTAGTAACTTCTGCGAGGGGCCACTTTAAAGAAGAGTTGGCACACAAGTATAGATATCCTTAAACTGCATGTGTATTTCTCTCTCAGGTTTTTGTTCAGTACCATCTTTAATTTCTATTTTCTTTTGAGAGAATGGATTTGCAAGTATACAAGACATAGAATACTGGAAATGGAATAAAGGGAATTAAAAACTGGAAACTGGAACTCGTAGTTTTCAATACCAGGTGGATTCTGATATTTATGGGGTTTATTCCCTATCAGATGGATGTTGCCAACCCATGGAAAATAGTGACACAGTTTGTGTATGTTATCTTTTACCTCCCTCAGGTATATACTACAAAGAAGTATGTATGAACAATGTATAAACTAACAATAAACATATTAATCTTTTACATGTTCTGGCATTCAAGGCACAGAAAAATCATTGTGTCATAGCCTTACCTATCATACCACTTACAAAATAAATCTGTGCTCAGGAGGAACACCAGAAAACTTTTCCTTTAATTAGCTTTTCAAAGCTGATGATACTTTTTAGAATATGATTTATTTATTTATCACCCTGCCTTGTTTCAGATGGATACTGTTTGACTGACCTCTAGATACCCTTGCACTTGCTCTGTGATATCCCCAGAATGTCAATGCTTTGATTCTTCATCTTTCATTTCCTAAACGTTTCTTATTGGTCACTTCTGCTACCAGTGGCAGCTGAAGTGGAAGTTTATCCTCTGATAATCTGTACTGCTTTAATGGTTCCCACCATCCTGAGGATATTTTCCAAGTGTTATGGTGACACCAGCTGAGATCTTGGCAAGAGAAAAGTGTTTCATATGTTTATTTCCTAACTTAGTCTTTTGGGTTTTTTTCTGCTTTCCCAAGCCTCTGTCACTCCCTTGATTTCTATGGCTCAACTCCTTTTGTTATTGCTATATTCTTTGTTATCATTTCTCAGTATCTTTCTGATTATAAAGCCTTTGAAGAACCTGAGGGCATTGCCAACATGCATCCAAAAATCTCTTAGTAAAGAGATGAGCAAAAATCTCCGCTAAAAGGAACAATAATAGTTACATCTTATTTATATATTTATCTGTAAACCAGAGTCTAGGAACTGTAGCACACAAACCTTGTAAAATGATGAGCATGTTTCAAACAGGTTTAATATAAAATATCACACATAAAACAGCTCACCAGTTTTAGCATGTCTCCAAAATAATGTATGCTTAGAAATGCTTATCCTTGTAGCATCATTATCCCTTCTTTTTTTCCAAGAGGAAATTAATCTTGCACCAGCATGCCCAAAAAAGCAAAATTCTCATCTAATTTCAATCACTCACTCAGTTTGCTCATGACTTTTATACAGCTGACTGAACATCTATTATCTCACCCGAAAGAGAAGCTGTGAGTTTGCTCACCTCGGTCACCTGCAGGATTTTTGAAATGCCTCCTCTTCTGTTCCTTCCAAAGAGTGCCTTTCTGCATCTCCCAGTCCATTCCCGAGTCCACTGAACATGCAGACATCAATAAGTTCTGGCTAAGTTATCCCACGTAACTCTGAAGAAAAAAAGGAGACCCTTGCAAATGCTGCAGAGGGTCTTCTTTACTCTCTTAGAAAATTTTGTTTCCTTGGTAGTCTGTCACAGTCAGGTCTCCGGTAGTAAACTGAACAACCTATCCTCCTGGCTCTTCTTTTCTTCTTTTTCTTTTCTGTAAACACATAATCAGGGCTTTAAATCCTTTAGGCATCGCAAAACTGTATTTCTCTATTGCCCTCTACTGACTGCTGGGTAACGCCGCCTTCCCGGAGAACTGGCGAGCAACAGATACACGGTAACGCGTTCCCCCGCCGCCCTCCCTCGGATCGATAATGATACACGATGACCAAAAGTCAACACAAATCATTCTATTTTTCTCTTTGTTACAGAACACCAGGCAAGATTTACAGCTTCTTGGCCAGCCGTGGTAGCTGCAAAACACTAAACAACAGAAGCAGGAAGCAGTAACATGGCTCTGCTAATGTGGGGTTTTTTGTTGGTTTTTTTTTTGCGAACAAAAGGCAGGAGAAAGTACAGATGAATGCATTCTGCCTTGAAATGCAGATGAATTCACCCCACTGATGCCACAAATACTGTACTGGGGATCTGAATGTTACCTGACTTTAAGGGTTTGGTCCTGCCAGCACTGGATGCACAGAAATACTGACTTTTGATGGGAGTTCTGCATGAAGGGGCTGGTAGAGAGCCATGAATTTAAGGCCATGGGTTTTGGTCATTTCCCCTTTGTGTCTAAGAGTTCTGTTTAGCACATTCAGCACCACACCTAACATGGGAAACATCATGTGACAGGACTCGGGGCAAGACACATACTGTGTATGAATGGCACTGGGAGGGGCTGTTGGCACGGCTTTTCGGACAAAGATGATCTATTATGCAAAGAGAACCCAGCAAATTAAGATAAAAAAGGGAATGGCCCAGAGTTGTTCCAGGAGCAGAGGAAAAAAAAAAATCAGCATTTCAGACAGACTGTAAGAGATTGAGAAGAAAAAAGCAGGAATAAGAAGAGTGTAAGAGTGTGGGGGAGGGGAAAGCGGTTGGTGGAGAAATCAAAATTAATCCTTTGCATTGTATTAGTCACTGCTTAATAAGTAAAGCACAGTGCTTGCTAACCAGGTCACTCATGCACTTGTTCTCACCAAAAAAAAAGTTAAACCAGGGTGCTGGTGCAAGTGTTCTGGCCCACCTGCACCATTCCAGGGGCAGGAAGAAGTCAGTCTGTCAGCTCCAGGCAACAGAATAAATCTCCAGCACATTTCCCTTTTGCTAGGCAGAGGCTGGGAGAGAACATGGCATTATCTTGCTGTACCATTCTTTCTCTGCAACCAACTCTCCTAGGGAGCAAGCATGGTTAAAAAATTACAAAAATAGACCCACCCCTCAAAAAAGTGTTGGAACTATTTTTCCTTACTTGCATTCAAAAAATACATTCATTTTTTTCCCACCAATATTAATAACCAGGAATATTTAATTTGCCAAAAAATCTGTTGACTGATGAACACTGGTCGTGCTTTAAATAGATATTATACGACATCCCTGCTCTTCCACTTAGGAAAGATAAGAGTTCACATAAAAACTATGATCAACCAAGCCAGCAACATGGCAATCAAAATATAATATTGAAAGGTTCATTGAAAAAAATTATTTTCAATTCAAAGTCAGCAGAGGCCCTAATTGTAGCTATTACGAATATTTCATTAACAAGCCAGATTTACTGACTGCATTGTAAAGCTGTTAAAGGGAGCCCTGAAATTCCTTTTTGCCCCATGCTTTTTCTATGCCTAAAGCTCTCAGCTATTCCATGTTAGAAAATAAGAAATAATTGTATTTATTCAAATTCCTTGATAGAATATCGAAGCCTGCTCGGCTGAATACCTCTCCTAAATGAACACCATTACCAACAGATCAAAGGAGGAAAACATCTAGCAAATGAATGGGGCCGAGGACACACATCAAACGGTGAAAAGCTGAGGGTTTGTTTTTTGGTTTTTGTTCGGTTGGGTTTTTTTTAATGGGAGCACATTTGCAGAGCGATAAAGCAAGTATGCAGTTGCCAAAATTCATAGAAGGGCACCTCAAATAGAGCGGGCGACGGGTTAAGCTCAGCACTCCCGAGCATCAGGCGTCACTCTGGAGCTGCTGCTGCTGCAAATCCTTCACGTGACAATCCCTGACAGAGACATCCGTAGGGTTTGGTTTGGGGTTTGTTTGGTTTTGGTTTTTTTGGTGTTTTTTTTTTTTCCCCCATAGAATCACAGAATAGTTAGGGTTGGAAGGGACCCCAAGGCAGGGTCACCCAGAGCAGGTGACACAGGAACGCGTCCAGGTGGGTTTGGAATGTCTCCAGAGAGAGGGAGACTCAGCGACGTCCCTGGGCAGCCTGTTCCAGAGCTCTGCCACCCTCAACGCAAAGTTCTTCCTCATGTTTTTTCCCTAGGGTAAAAGTTTTCTTCCCTACAGGCAAAACTTTTCACGCCGCTGGAGACACAGGCGGCTCCCGAGCATCCACTCCCCGTTCCGAGCGGGCGGCGCGGTGAGGGCCGGGCTCGGCTCCCCCCCGGCCCCTCCGCCCGCCGAACCCCCGGGGCGGCCGCGGGGCCCCGCCGCCGCTCTCAGCGCCAGCCCCGGCCGACCCCGGCCCTTCCCCCGCTCCCGGCCCAGCGACCCGCGGTACCGCGGGCCCACCCGAGCCCGGTACCATGAAGCTGCGGCCGCGGGCAGCCGCCGGGGCTCGGCCGAGCGCTGCACATCGGCCGTGCTTCCCTTCCGGCGGGGCGGGCGCTCGGCGCCATGGGGCGGCGGCGGCTGCTGGTGGCGGCGGCGGCGCAGCTGGCAGAAGCCTGCCCGGGACAGGCGCGGTTCCTGCTGTAAGGAGCCGCGCCGGGGGTGGGGGTGGCGGTGGGGGCGGGCGGGTGGGAGGGAGGGGATGGTGGGAGAGAGAGCGCGGTGGTGACGCGCGGGGTGTCCCCGCCCGGTGGCGGTGCCGTGACGCTTTCCCTCTCTCCCGCAGGTGGACGCTCCGCAGTTCCCGAGGCGAGTGAGGGCCCCCGGGCACACACGGTGGTACCGGGGCCGGAGGAGAGGGGCTTCGGAGCAGGGCGCCCCTCCAGCGGAGGGAGGGCAGCGCAGAGGTTGCCGAGGGGCAGGAGCGTGGGAATGCCGCCTTTCCCATTTTCTCCATTATCCGCTCTCCCTTTGCACTGCACCCGGAGGGCTGTGCCGCGCTGTGCTCCTGGCTGCCGCCAGGAATGTCGAGCTTGCCGGAGAGCAGGGGCCGGGTGTTCCTCAGCGGTGTAGGGAGAGGGGCTCGACTCCGGCTCTGGTAGCAGGAGCTGATAAAGCAGATGCAGGAGCCTCTTACTGGGTCTGAAAATTATCTCAAAGCATTCCTTAATCCCAGGCTGAGGTGCGGTCGTTTTCTCGCACTTAAAACGGGCGAAGAGCTTTACAAGGCTTTGGTGTCCCTGATCTGGCAAGAGTGTGCCTGCAGGGAGCTCCTTGCAGAATTGTGAGCCTCCGTTGTTAAAAGATTTTCAGAGAGGAATTTCATTTTTCAGTAAAATCTGCAGTTACGTATTGTGTAAACTTACACCATAAGCATAAAATTACTCTGAGTTGTGCTTAGCTGAGCACATACTGCTGCCCAGCTTCCTCTGGAATCCTAGTTGTCATCATGGCTAGGCTTCGCAAACGAAGATTTAAGGATCCTAGTTGTTTCTTAAACATAAAAACACGTATCTAGGTATTGCTGAAACTGAAACATACTCTATGAATCTTTGCTTATAAAAATAATTTTTTCATTCTTCTACCTTTATTTATCTGTAGCTAATGAACGTGGATTAGAAAGGATATGTCCTTACTGCTTCCAGTTCCTGGTTCCTGACAGCTACCGAGTGCGTCTCAAACCAAAGATGAAAGTGTCTCCACAGATAGAGAAAGTTCTTAAGCGAGAGGCAAAGAACCATAAACTTAACATGAAACAGACAAAGCTTTTGAAAAAGTACAGGGAGTCAAGCAGCGTTCTGGTAAGGACAGTTATTTGGGAGTGACAAGTACATGACATTTCTCTAAATTTCATGTCCCTATTTCAGTGGCATAAAAAAGAAGATACAGAAACCTTTCTCTCAGAAGAGGAGCCCACACCTGCACATTTCTTTTTCATGAGCGTATGACTCTTTCTTTTGGAATAACTTCTATTAATAATCAAAACTTTTTAAATCTACCCTCCCCAATAGATAAATCATGAACAATGACAAGAACAGTAAGATTTTTCCCTCCAAAAAACCCCACAACCCCACATTGTCAGAAGCTACGCAAACAGCTCTGCCTTCCCTGTGATATCTTTAGCAGCAGTCTGGGTAGACTCTGCAGATGTCTAAGCTCTTGCTGAAAATTAAGTAATCTTTTCCTGCCAGAAGCTCTGGTATTTCCACTGTCAGCTACTGTATCATTAGCATAGCTTTGCAAAAAAAATGGCAGGAGTAGCAGATTTCTGCCTGTTCCTTTTTTTCCTACAAATGTGGCAGAACTAGGACCAGGCAACTGTACCAGATGCAGAGCCTTAATAGAGCCATGTAGATCCTAAATCCATTGCTAAGAATAGTCCCATACCTAAGGAGCAAAACGTGCCATTGACTGAAGTCAGGCTTGTTGTGATAACTTGACATTTACCACCTTTGTTTCAGTTTTATCAGTTGTTGAGCAAATATATTTTTACACAAGCTTTACTTCATTTATTTCACTAGGCTGTCATGGCTACATCAGATTATTGTTACCTTCTGTATTAATTGAATTTTTTACATTTGTCTGAATATTACTGTTTATAGAAATCTTTGAAAACTAAACTATGGAGGTAATTTCAACAAGCTGATGTTGCTCTTGGGGGTTCAGTTATTTTTCCTAGAAGTACTTAGGAATGTGAGCTTTAATTACTATTTTTTATAATAACTACTATTTGAAGAATAATAGTATACGTTTAAGCTAGTGTTGCCAAGGTATGTACTACTTTTAGAACACGTTATGTGAATGGCTGTTGTAACAAATGAAACAGCACCCTATTGTGCACAGCAGTTGCTAGCACACTTGGTATTTTCTTCTATTACAGTCGGCTGGTTTGGGGAGTAAAATTTATGAAACCAAAAATTATTAAAGAGTTATAAAACAACATTAAACTCAGGAAATATCACCGAGGTTCTTGGCTGTGAGAGCAAAATAAGATGCTCCATAAATGACTTTCCCCAAATTGTAGAGCATAGTTGAGCTTCAGAAAGGATATCTGAAAAGGTTCTTCACCCAGGGGGTGAAGCACTGGAACAGGCTCCCCAGGGAAGTGGTCACAGCACCAAGGCTGACAGAGTTCAAGAAGCATTTGGACAATGCTCTCAGGCACATGGTATGACTCTTGGGGCTGTCCTATTCAGGGCCAGGAGTTGGACTTTGATGATGCTTGTGGGTGCCTTCCAATTCAGGGTGTTCTAAGATTCTGTGAGCTGAAATCTTGGGATCACAAACATTTAAGGGTATCTTAAGAACTCTCTCTTTAAGCAACTGATGAACACGAAATTATGATGGGTTCTTAGTCTTATTCTGTAGCTGGAGAGAGTTTGTAAGGATGCACTGTGCATTCATATAAGTAGTTTAAAATTCAGTTCCAAAGAGGTCCAATGTAAACTCTGGATAATATTTTAATCTTGGTATGTAACTACAGTTTGCTGCACTTTTGTTCTGTTCAGTTTGCATTTGTTCTACGGATTATGGTTTAAGTATTTCTCATCTTAGTCTTTAAAATGCTGTCAGCAACTGGCAGCTTTCAAAATTAGCAATGTAGATCCCTGTAATCTAATATCTGAGACTTGTGAAAATGAAGATTCAAGTGTGGTTGAAAATTAAAGTGAGCAACAATGTGACAGGTTGTACCTCTGATACCTTTTTTAGCAAGTAGAGCTTGATTTTAGTCTGTTTCTGCTATGAAAAGGCATATAACATAGGGCAATTTTGGGGCTTCAAAATTTTTGCAGTTTACTGCAGATCCAGTTCAGGGAACAGAAACTAGCTGAGAAGTGCTACTATTAATCCAGTAATTCCTGCATTGTAAGGTGGTCACCTCCACTTATATTCCACAGAGTGCTAAGTCACCATGTGATGCTAGGTTTTTTCCCATCTGAATTGCATTTAGAAAAACTAAAAATATATCGATACCTGAGCAGCAAAAGTTAACGTTATTTCTTTTTTTTTTTAGTTCATTAGGCTGACAAAATAATATCTAGAGACAGTCAAAATACCTAAGTAACTGAAAACATTTCATTTCAGCATCTCTAAATGCAATTTTTTTTCTAAACAATCTGAATTTAGTTAAATTTACACACTTTGAAATGATTTGGTATAGATGTTTTCAAAACTGCTTAGACATTTTTGTGACAGTCTTTTGAGTATGTTTTTTTAACCAGAAACATCACGTAACTCTTTCTCTGTCAGTGTAATTGTGTGCCTCAGAAAGTTGTCTGGTTGTATTACTCTCATGTCTCTTAATATGGGTAGTTGCCATGACAGTAAGGGATATCAGGAATATCTGACAGTCTCTGTGACAGTCTGACATTATCTGTTCTGATGCACCTCTCAGCTTCCTGTGCTGCTGGAAGTTCCATGCAGCCTAGAAGTAAACAGAGAGAAGAGAAAGTGCCCTTTGTTCAGAATATCCTCCTTATTGTAGTAAGTATTTTTGCCCTAATAGAAACCCTCATCTTTGTTCACTGAGACTTGGTGTTACTAGTTAAACAGATGGCAGTTTTTGGGACTTTCGTAATTTAAATATTTTACCTCAAGACTCCCTGGAAAGTGTGCAGTATGACTTTATCAGGTGTACAATATGCTAATGTATGTAGATCATATGGTATGTCATGCTTTTTAGCCAAATACAAGTACCTCTAATGTACAGAGGTGCTCTTGTATATTCAATGTATCTTGTATGCCCAAGATACCATATATCCAGTTCAGTTGCTCTTTCATCTTTCTGTCTTGACAGGGTTGTTCTCTGCAGTTCACTGTACAATGTTAAGTTCAAAGTTACAGGTCTTCTGAAATTAGTTACCAGGGAATTGGAGTAATTTCCAGATAAACCCATAGGAAGTGTTTGGCTTAAGAAATCTGAATTAAAATATTAGTTGTAAAGTATTTGTTACTTTTTAGTATCTCATGTTTTACTTAAGCAAATATTTAATTTGTGTCATGGTATTTGGAGAAGAGTTTGGATAATTCTTAAAATGGCTTTATAACATCAAGGTAGAAAGACTGAAAGAAGGCTTGATATTTCTTTTCTTCTCTCCACAGCTAGTTACTTGCAAATCATGCAACAAAACAACAAGACATTATGGTAAAAGCAGGGATTTTCTGTCAACCAAGACACAGAATTCTGGCACTCCAAGTATTAAATCTAGCCTCAAGACACCAGATGTAAAAATTCCATCTTCAAAGAAAATTACACCTGTAAGCTCCAGTAGTTCGGGATCTAAAGGGAACGGTCCCTCAACACTTCCCAGGTACCTGTTTCTCTCCTATTTAAAGAAGCACTTTGCCAAGTAGAGTGTATTGTCTTGATTTTAGATCAGTCATTTAGTAAACTTTAAACTGATAACTAAGTGTTTTTCTCAGTGGTATGGTTGAGGAGATCAATGTTAACTGTCCAACCTTTAAAATCAGAGATTCTCATGAAAAGCCACTGTGTGCAAAAGAATGCTTGGTTATGTTAGTGTCATTAATGTGAAATGTCTGTCTTAAAATTTGCATAACAAAGTTATACTTCTGACTGCTTTCACATGAAAATACACTACTTACCTTGAATTTTTTTTCACCCAAATTATATATGTGCACTTTCTCAGTTACTTTATGTTAATTCTGATTTTTCACCTTTAAGACATTTGAGTCTTGTTTTTCAGAACATGTCAATCTGGACAGGCAACAACCAACTCTGCTTCCAAGACTCCCCGAAACTCCAAATTTCACTTTTCTAAGCTAAAACGGATGCTCAACCTAGAAGAAAAAGAGAGAAACCAGAAGGCAGATTTCAAGACCTTCTTGACTTTACTTTAGTTCTGTATTATTTCAAAGTAATAAAGATTACAGCAATAAATATCGTTCCAGTTCTAGTAAATCAACAAAGCAGCGTGTCTAAAACTCAAGCCTGTACCCCGCGAAAGCATAGATCATATTTTTTTACAGGCAAGCTCGGTTTCAAAGAGTAGTGACTGCCTGCCAGAGGGAGATGAGAACACAGCCACTCTATTATGCTTGGGAACCTTGAACGTGTTTTGCAGTTTCTGATAGTCCAAGAATTAAAAGCCAGGATTTATCCTTTGAGGAAGCCAGTGATACCAGATTGATCAGTGGATCCACCAGAACCAAGAGATAGGTTGGCTGACCAGAAAGCAGTTTGGGAATGGGGAGGTCACAGTTTGCTCCCCTTCACTGTCCCACTATTAAGATAATTCATCACAACAGAATGTAAAAAAATCTCACCCTTGCTTTGCATGTTTGAGTAAAACAAATACACACACACTGGCACCTTCTTCAGGTACAGTATTTTCAAGGGTCTAATGCAGTGTCCTGTAGTGTCACTGTATTTTGATAGCTGTGGCAATTTAAGCGCAGCCTTTACAAAGGTAAATTACTTTTTAAGACAGCACTCATATACAGAGAGAGAAAACTATCACCAGATTTAAGTTTCTTCATTTTCATAAGAATGTTCTCCATGATTTGGACTGCAGATGGTATGTGTCCCATGATAACACAGAGCCTTGGGTGTACTAATTGCACTCAGATGTGGGATGCTCTCAGTACCAACTGAGAACTCCACACTAGACTGGTACCAGCACCCTGATTAGTTACTGATAGAAGAGTGGCACAGTCATAAAGAAGAGAGGATACTTCTTTTCCAGTTGCTCTGGTGCTACCAAAATGGGTCACTTTTGTCTCGTAAAAATGGCCGAGTTCTGAGAACCTCTTTCTTAAGTATCTTTCAGTTTTGTCAGGCTTCAGAGTTGCTTCCTTTCTGGACTTCAGTCTGGAAAACTAGTATTGCCCTGGACAGTAGAGAAGTCGTTTTGATGGGAAAAGGTGATTGTCAAGATTAAAGCAGTCTCCAGTGTTAGATTTTCAATTTAAGTTTGGTACAGAGATGAGAGAGGACAGTATATAAAGTCACTGTTCAGGACTGAGGTCATAGCCCGTCCTGCATACAGTCTGCAGTGGTAAATTCTTCAGATTTCCCCTCTGAAAAAGAGAACGCATAGTTAAAAACATTTACATACTTGAATTTAAATGTCTGTATTTTCTTTTTTTTTTTTTTTTTTTTTGCTAGTCTAGTAAATAGTTCCTTTTAAGTGTTTTCAGACTCAGTGAACAGTGCTTAACAAAACTGGACCAGCAAATAAGTGGGCAGACTGGAAAGCAATCCAGGGCAGGGGAGAATAGTTTGTTGTAAATTGCACATACAGTCTCAAAGATTGGCATGTAACCTTTTTATATCTCCTGTACACTTGCACAATAACTGAAAGGTTCACTGCCATTTGTCTCTTATGTATGTGTAGGATCAAATTAACTGTCATTCTTTGATCAAAATACAAACCTTGGAGTGATGCCTTTTCCAGTGTAGAACTTGGCATTACTTCACCTGTTGCTGTATTTACGATCCAGTCCTCTGGAAAAATACTTCAATCTTATTGACGGAAAATGTGCATTATACAAAAGTGTTTGAAAAAACAAGTTTTGCAATAAAATTTCCTGTTAAAAGTACACACATTAGCTACACTATTGCTGTGCTTCCTATGAGGCTTATGTGAAACCATCTGCTGTGTTTTAAGGTGCCCCAACATTAATATTAGATCAAAGCACACCTCCCAATTGTCCCTGTTTACTGTGCTTCTTACGTACCACCCTGTGGTCTCAAGAGTGCATTCCTTTTGGATAAAAACTACAGATAAGGGATAAAAGACAGTGAGGGGGGCACAACCAGCACGCTGAGAAACCTACTGGGCAATCTGTTCACGGACCACAGGATAGATGTCTAAGCTAGGTGTCTCCAAAAAGTGTATTGTGGGTGGCAGGCACCAAGCTACAGTTATTCTGCACTCCAAATCTATCACTATTGCATGACGCTATTTGTTAATATAGTCTTGTCTTGTTCCAAACAACATGTTTTTTCTTTGAAATTACCAGAGTTGTCAGGTATGTCCAGCTGTGTTGTTAAAAGTGATCGTTATTATAAGCTATAAGACTTTATTCAGTGAAAAAAAATTAAAAAAGGTCATTCAGTACGTGCCTTTCCTTGTCTTACAAGTGTGCTTAAAAATGCTGTGTAGAAATGACCTCCAGTGCTTTTATGTTTTTCCTAAGCCTTTAAAACAGTCTTTTTCTGTTATTGGACTTTCACAGAAACAGTGTATTGAAAAACACAAAAATACAGAAAAACATATATATCTACATATCTCTGTACATAATGTATATGGGTATATAAATACCTATACACATCAGCTCCATATATATATGCAGAAATTACACACATGTATGCATCCCATGCACTCTTCCCTTCAGAATACATTATGTTCCTGTACTCAGTGAAACACCGAAGGTTAAGTGTTGGCTGCAAGAGACTATTCCTGAGCCTCCCCGCCAAACCACTGCCAGGCCACGTCACTGGTTTGTGTTTGAAAAGCTGGAAGAACAACTCCAGAAAGGAAACACCCTCCCTGATTTCAATGAGGGCAGAACTTCACCCAGACTTTGTAAAGCAAAACCAAGAAGATCTCTGTTAAGCATACAGCCCTGCATACAGGCATTTAAGTATAGAGTGAGAGTTATTTCCCAGCTCATACAAATCCTGTGTAGGCAACGGTGTGTGTCTCATTGGCAGTAATAGCATCATACCATATCAAAAATGTTACTGTGTCTTAATGTAACCAGCTCAACTAAAGCATGTTTTACTTTAAAACATCAGTTTGAGCCACTTTCCCATTTTTTGAGTATTGGGAGCCTCAAGGTGACATACTCCAACTTGTTCCCTCACACCCATCCCCACCTAACAGCAAACTTCAGCTAAACTAGATGGTATATGAACAGTAGCTTATTTTTTAAAATTTACAGTTCTAGAGATAGGACCTCAGACCCTTTAATGCACTGCTTCCTCAACGAAAACTGTCACATAAAATACAGAAAGTAATAAACCTTGAAATTATTATCAACTATTTCCTCAGCATCATCATTGTGAGATCTTGTCTGACTCGTAAGTATAGGAAGCATTTACATAAAAGCCATTTCTCACCATGAGATTGAGTAGGCAAGCAATAAATAATAATTTCAAGGATGTTTTTACAACAATGTTTTATTAAATATGAAAGAGCGTACATACAGGTGTGTTATTCTGAGGACATAAATTACACAAGGATTACAGGTTCTGTCAGAAAAGCACAATAATGAAACATCTTTACATTTCAAACTTTTCTTGTTAGCTTTTAACAAATGAATCTATTTTTGTTGCAAACAAATAACGAGTGCTATTGAACTTCTGCAAATTCCCACGAAAACATCATGCTTAGTAGGATAATTTAAATATTGTAAATATGAATTCTGAATTAGATTCGTAAATAACACAATGGAAGAGATTTACTACTTAATCAAGATAAATGACACACTGAAATAGGAGCCAAGACAAAATTGGTCATTCATTAAAAAAAAATTCCACTTCAGACACTACATTTGAGTCTGCCTTCTTTACTTGCAGGAATAGTCACTGTGATTATATGCATGAGTAATGAAGAGAACCAGACCTAAATATTTATAGAAGTAACCATCAAATTTTAGATGTGCTGGTTTTCATTGATCTTCCCACTGAAAAAAATCCACACCCACAGATCTATTTGCTTATGTTTCAAGAGGCTGACATCCAGCACTTCTGTAGAGGGCCAATCAAGCCTGTGTATGATTTCCACGTCTTCCATAGTTGTCTCCACAGCTGGCTACTGCATCCTATGTATCTATTTTGGGTCATCATCAAAGTACCAGACTGAGTTGCCACTGACTTGTGAGAGCAGCATTAGTCCGTGGAAGTCTTAACACACTGTCTTTTTAAACTTCAGGTAAACAGGAATGTAATTTTGTCATAATGAAAGCTCTCAGTTTGACACTCAGAAGACTACTCAGATAAATACATAATAAGCATGTAGACTGGGTTGTGTTGCTAGGGATTAACAGAGGTGTTTTAATATATTAATACAAACATTAACAGTGAATCAGACAAGCTAATGTTACTGCAGGCTGTAGTTTAATTTCCAAAAGGAGTAATGAAACATAATTTCTAAGAATAGTAATTTTTGTAACTAATGACTTCACATTTATTTTTCAAACCACAGAATTGGGGTAATATTCCTGATATCTTTCAAAACATTCTGCAAAAAACACAGCTTGAGCTTCCAAACACTAGAATATACAAGCAGTCCCAGTGACCTCCAAGATAAGCATTCTCATATGGCAAAGTGCTGCAGGAATCTCTTTGCTTTTTTTCAGAGAATGCTCAATAAAAGTGCAATATAGCGAAGCAAATAATCTAATTATTATGCTTTTATTATTAGATGAAAAATGTTCAGATATTTTATAATTGTGCCTTTTGTAGGGTGGGCATTCTGGTCTGCATAGAGTCAGACCACATTAGAAGAGGCAGGCAGGGTATACCCACACATTTTCTTTCCCAGGGTGGTAATGCAACCGAAGCAGTTCTATTGTAAATCCCACCTACAGCTAAACCATTGTGCTGCCCAGTTTCACAGTTACTTCTGTTTGGATGAAAGTTCACATTCAGTTTGCTTTACATTTCCACCCAGGCATGTTCTCCCTTCCAGCTCCTAGGCACTCACCGTTCCCCACCCAGCCCCTTTTCTTCCTGAGATGTCAGAAGTACGTACATTAAGCTCTGGAACCTGAGAATTTGGAGGTATTTTTTGACACTACAGGACTGCATTTGTATCGTACCATGTTATCTTCTGCTATACTATTACAGTCACAAGATAAATCTTCTAACTACTTGATACCTGATGCCTTTTCCATATAAATAAAAAAAAAACCGTACCATTCAGTCACTAATATATAACACTTGCTGTAAGAGTGACCTTTGCCTTCCACAAGTCCTCTTTTCCAAAGGAATATTGAGGGATCATTTCCAAAACCCCAGCTGTGAAAAATTCCTTGAAGCAAACAATTTCACCGTAAAATGAAGAAAAATATATCCAGAAAATAACACTCTCTCAAAATTAAAACTTATATACATCAAGAAGTAGTTGACGTTTTTTCCTCATTCTTTTATCAGTTCTACATTATCTGCAGATAAACAACGTTACCACTAAGAGTTATGAAGAGGAAAAACAAATCTAGTGAAGTGTCATGTCTTTTTTAAAACCCTCGAGAGATCAAGAAAATTCAGCATACAACTTCATTATTCTAATTATTTTCAATTAAGGCAGCAAAAGATTGTTTAAAAATTCCCTATGATTTTGAGTATCCAAGACAGATCCTTCAATGCAGTCCAACAAGCCATGTCACTGTACTTATTTTGTACCTCTGGGTACAAATTAAATTTTCCATGGATGGAATTCAACCATTGTCCTAGTTATAGGGGCCAGGACCAGTTTATCGCTACGTGGGTATAACCAAAACTGTGTATTCTACACCCGGTATGAGATTTCTGATGGACTGTTAATAATGGGTCATTTGCAGCAGCTGCCCAGGGCAGCTTCTAGGGAAGTTGCCTGGAGGCCTGCTCTGGGAGTGGATAATGCTAAGTGGCATCGAAAGTGGCAGGACATGGGCCAGTATCTGGAGAGCTTCTCTCCTCCAATGGTCTGGAAATTCACCCCTGAACAACTGCAGGACCCTGTTAGAGCAATAAGATACGTGAGAGGAAGGTGCTCTGACAGCTTCAGAGATGGGCAGCTTACGGCAACATGCTGGGCCCTGGCCACTGCCTACCAGTCACTGCTTGGTATGGTACAGTACCTTAAGGAGGAGGAGAAAGGAAACAAATCAACAGGCACTGCGTCCACACAAACCACGGCTGAGCCAGAGGTAAAACAAAGCAAATTAACCAGCACGATGTCCATGCATGGACATCCACGTTGTGGAGCCAGAAGGACAAACTGAACCAACAGCAGTCGCCCCTGTCCAGAAAAGAGCATCCAAGACTACATCCAAGACTAAATCAGTTTGCTTAGTGGGTGACGGGGAAGAGGCAGGACCTTCATGCTCATTAGAAGAAATAGAGCCAGAAATCATCCACTCGGTCCCTAACCTGGGTGATCTGCATGAGCTGCAGAGAGAGTTCATGTGACAGGCAAACGAGTCCATTTTGATATGGCTGCTCTGAATCTGGGATGCCACGGTTAATGATACAATTCTAGATGGGAGTGAAGCAAGGCAACTGGGATCTCTGTCTTGAGATATGGTCATTAATCAGGGGATTGTAAAGAGGCAGGAAACAGCCTCTGGCAGCGACTGTTGTCAAGTGTAAGGGAGAGATATCTTTGTAAGGGGGACCTCCATGTGCAGCAAGGACGATGGAACAAGGTATCCAATGCTCAAGAGAATTAGCTGTACTGGAGATAATCTTTTCAGAGGATGAAAGATTCCCTAAAAGTCCAGACCGCGTACAGTGCACATCCCAGATGTGGTTAAAATTTGCACAGCCAGGGCCAGAAATATATTCCCATTACTTAGCAATGTTGCAATGGAAGGAGGGAGAAGACAAGGTG